TATATATATAGCACCCACCATGCCAGAGCAGATCCAGGCATGGACACAAAGGCCTGGGCCCCTAGGGCACACACCCCCAGGCCAAGGCCCAACAGGGCCAGAGGACCCAAGCCCCACCGGGCAGCCACCGGGCCGAGCCGGTACATGCCCAAGCACCCAGCCCAGGACAACGAGAGCCACCAGCACGCTGGCGGGCAAAGGCACAACCCATCAGAGGGCAGCGTGGCAGGGGAGCAATGGGACCTCAAATGATCATTCAAAGACACACAGGATGAATGCCAAATTCCACTCACACTCCCCATACATACTTTAGACCCCCCAGGTCCAGGACAAGCACTTGCCCCCTGCAGAGGGCAGCTCACATCCGAACCCAGGAGGTAGACCCTTTCATCCTGGGGTGGAGAGGAACAGACAGCCAAGTCTCGGCCCAGGCTGCACCAGGCCGACCGGCCAGCCCCCAGCCCCAGCGAAGCCACTCCGCTGACCACTCCCACACACTGCCAATGGCCAAGCGCACACCTCCAATCGACCATCTGCCGGACTCCGGCAGCCACCCCAGCCAGCGAGCCAACAACGAAACCAGGAGCCATACTCCAGGAGTCTGAACAGCCCTAGGGAAGCCGGAGTGCCTGCCCCGTCCCCAGCACCCCTCCAAGCCCCAAGTCCACCCACAGCCCAGGCCCCCACCAGATGGTCCACCCCTCCTCTGGACCCCAACCTCAAATGGCCAACGGGGAACGGGGGAGTGAAAAAGACCCTAACACACACACACCCCTTGCTTGAGCTTTCTTTCCTTACAGTCTAATTGGCAAATCACAGTTTTATGAACATGTTGAAAAGTGCTTCATGGTGATGCTTAATGTTCTTGAGGTCATCTTTACCCAAAAATGTACAAAACATCACACAAATTATGGAGTTTAAGTTGAAAAAAATCACAATTTTGGACTTTATTTCCCTCATTGGGGTACCCAGTAGGCCAATTCTAACACTTAAACACTTTGAATAGAATTTCAAAAATGCCAATAATCTTCAAAAATATTAAAGGAAAACTACTCTTACGAACCCTCATCTTTACATCCAAATGGAAAGTTTTGCACATCAAACATCTTTGCCCATGTTTACAGATTCAGGGGAAAAAAAGCCACACTTTTTTAACATCTGTGAAATTTAACTGCCTTTTTCAAAAATGCATAATTACAGCAGAGCGCGGGGGGGGGGGGGGGGGGGGGGGGGGGGGGTGCTGCCACAGTTTATAGCTCATATTTTTGGGAAAGCTGAACCAGAGTGGCATGCAGCAGTCACGACAAGCCCGGAGACAAAACTCACTACCGAACAGTCTTAGTAGAGACGACAGGACTTTACAACAAAGGCTACAAAATCTTAAGTTTCAACTCAATGATAGTGAACTTAAYCTCATTGTCACTCTGAAAGTGTGTTACCAAGCTTATTACCATAAGCCAAACTGATTAAATGTTCCAAAACTTCTGATAATTTAATTTGATTTAAAGACAATATTACTCCCTTGCACTCAATGTGTGTTACTAACTGTAAGATTACGATAAAGTAAACAGTATTTGTGATATTTTCAYTGAATTATCAGAACTGCTTTGAAATAATGGTGTTTTTTAACTGTCTGGGAAAACATTTATTTTTGATCTACCTGGAGGGAAAATGATGCTTTAAGTTTTTCTGTTTTGCAACACAACTGTCAGTGTTTGGTTGTCAATTTTCTTCAAACTGGTCTGCACACCTGATCCAGTGTAATGATGAACTCGCCAAATATTGAAAACTCATGCTTTGTTTGTTGGACTTCTAGCTAACAGGAGATTCACATTAGGCTCTGGCAAGTTCCTGAAAAGTTGAAAGATTTGCTAAAATCCTGAAAACACTCAAATCTGTTGTAATGGGGTAACGCAGCATGCCAAAGATGAACAAAAACTATTTCAAGGCATTTAATGAAAATTAGACAAGCTATAGTTACTGAGTCAACCTTTATTATCGGTTAATAAAAGAGGTGTGTGACATCCAAAGTTTTTTAACAAACAAATCTAAGCATTGAACTGATGCTTTAACAAGTTTTGTAATTGTACGATGTTAATTGTTAACAGGTAAACACATCCTACAGGCTGTGTGGAGTCTCGTGTGTGTGAACAGGAATGTCATAAAACAGGTAAGTAACTGGAGGAAAGCGAACATATCTGGAGTTCGTATAGTAGCAAAGACTGAATGAACCTGCATATCAACAGTGTCCACTTCTGTAAAAAAAAAAAAAGATGACATTAAGCTAAAAATGACACACAGAGGCGCTGTGTATCTTTAAATATACATAATGGATTTAGATAGACGAAATTTATACTTTTGTTCAGACAATTAGTAGAATAAGACATTWATATAGTCATGCAAATTGCCCAATAACAAACCTCAATAACATACCAACTATGCAATAAGTTAGTGAAAAACTACAATGAGAAGGTAAAAACAAAAGAAATTTGCAGAAAAAAAGTGCTTTGTTAAGATGTCAGTGTCAATCCCAATAAGGTTAAAATGACAAATTTCTCATTTTTTTTTTTGGCCTAACTCAATAATAAATAAAACCATAATGGCATGTTGCTCTGTAAATAGCAGATTCAGTCAGCCTAAATGGTGAACTGACAAACAAAACTCCTCTAACAGAAAAGATAGAAATAAGTTTAAATTCTAAGTTTTAGAACCTGCACTTCAAAGTAACTAAAGTACAGAAATCAATAGAAATATAGAACAGAAACAGAAAAATAGSAGAATGCTGTAGTTTCTTTATCTTGTCATTTAATCAGTAGAAAAAAAAAACATTTGTCGAATAAATTTACAAAAAATAGTAAATAGTTGACTTAGAAAAAAATATCCAACAGTCAGAGTGCCCAGAAGACAAGAGCCACAGGGCAAAAATATTTCTTTCCTGATGTCTGACTTTAATCTCAGAAATCTCACTTTTTTCTTAGAATTCTAAGATTAAAGTCAAATTTCTTACCCTTTTTTTTTTTTAGAATTTTGTGATTTAAGTCAGAATTCTGAGAAWAAAGTCAGAACTCAGAACTTTTTTTGCTCTGTGGTCCTAACCCTCCTCTGTAGAAATGACTGAATATTGTCAGGTTAACAAACAAACTATTGGAGCTTTAAACCTTTCCTCTCACCAGTCTCATCAGGGTCAAACTCCTGTATTACAAAAAATAATAACAATAAAAAGCTTTGATTACATCGAGTCCTTTACAATAGGGTGGGCATAAATACTGTACAGGTGACAAAAGTCAGTTGAAGTCTGGTAATAATTTAGCTTCCGAGTCTGCCTGCAGGGTTCTGTGTGGGTATCTGTGTGGGAGGGGAGTAGTCATCATCATCATCATCATCACGTCCTCTTCAGTTGTACGGATTGTGTAAAGCAAGATTCCAGCACGTATCCAGTGTGTTGCAACATCACTCTTCATCTCTTTTGTATTTAGGTGAGAAGCTGTTTGCAGCGTGACGCGGAAGCAGAAAAATGCTACAGGAATTACATCTGTTCCCATCATGAGTTTCTGAGTCAAGCGATGATCTAACCAATGAAATCAAAAGTGAAGCAGTGAAGGAAAACATGTGGTCGAAATAGTTTCTTACAAAATCTTCAAGTAGTGTTACAGTACAGCAAATTTCAGTATTTTACATTAGCTATCATCTTCAAACTGTCCTGAACAGGAGAGAGAGAGAGAGAAAAAAGACGACTTCTTGGCTAGTTCCTCCGACGTGCTTATGTCTCAAAAGCATCACAGGCATCAAATTAGATCATTTTAGCAACTTGAATATAGTCCCACTATGATTTCTACCCTTCCAGGGGTAAAAAGCGGTAATAAACACWTATTTTATCAGCCTTTAGAGCGCAATATCCAGACTTAAACCACCCAGGGGATCCTGATGATAAAGTCATAACAGCAGGGTGAAACTGGAATCTTCCATTACACAAAAATGGGAATTGCRTGTCTGAATATGTCCAACAAAACAGGGCATCTTTACAGCCTTTAAGGGATTTAGTGGTACATGAGGATCTCTTATCTCTGCTGAAAAATGACTCTGGCTCCTAACTGGACCAGAGTCCACTTCATTCATCATGTAGAACACCCACTCCAGTCTAGACAGAAGATCTTCATCACAAATCCGTTTCATGTGCTGGGTTTCTCGAGACCATCGGTTTTGATTTCCTCCGAGGACGGCTGGCTAGTGCCTGTGTCGGGACCCGAGTTCAGAGGCCTGGCGTTGGCCTGCAACGAGCGCTGCCGGCGGGTGCCGTTGCCGATGCAGCGCAGGAGGTTTTTGAACGTCGTCCACATCTCCTCGTCCTTGTAGGAGTAGATGCAGGGGTTCATGACGGAGTTGGCGACGGCCAGCAGCAGCAGCCAGCGTTTCGACTGCATCACGTTGCAGCTGTCGCAATCGAGGCCGTCCATCAGCAGGACCACCAGACCGGGAGTCCAGCAGATCACAAACGCCCCTACAGACAGGAAAAACGTAGCAAATGGTATATGGTTTAAATGCAAGCACATCAAAGATTTACAGTAACTAAAGTGGATTTTGCATTACTAAAACCATGACCTCTGTCGGAGATGATCCTGTTTGTGTGTTAGCAAAATCTCTCTTAAACCAACTTCGCATTTCAATTACACTTTCATAAATAAGMTATTGACAATACATCTACGCTCGATTTTCTTTTGGAGTCAAATCAATTCAAATTAGCTGCCACTGCTAACATGGCTTATACCCAAAAAGTGCCATAACTCAGTCAATAATGCAGATATTGAAGTAAAATTGGATGCTTTAATAGGTGTGGATCATCCAAAACACATCGTTTTTTCAAGGTCTGACCAAAATGTAGGTCAACATGCATTTTTTTTTTCAAAGACTCTTAATTATTCCAGCTATTGTTCCTTTTCAATGTTAGTGCCTATTTCAAGCAGTCACTGTGTGAGAGGTGGAGTACACCCTGGTCTTCTCAGGTCTCCAGTCCATCACAGGTCCACAGAGTCAAATGAGACAGACAGTCACTCACACATTCTCCCAAACCTACAAGACAATTTAGAGAGGCTAAATAACCAAAYGTGCATGTTTTTGAACATTGGGATTAATCTGAAGCACATGGAGAAAACCCACTCACATATGGGGAGAATATCAAACTTCACTCAGAAAGGCCTTTTAAAAAGGAACCTTTATGAAATAAAATTCAACCTTAATAAGGACGAATACTGGAAAACATTTCAGTAATCAAATCTCTGTTTAATAACAACAGATGACGGCTCAGCAGTAATTCCGTTGTCACATTTGCATTCATTTTTAATGATATGAGGAAGAGAGAATGTGTCACCAATGTTTATGGAGATAAAACAAGCAGTCCCGGGGATTGGTGAGATATGTACTGCAATTAATAGTACTTGTGCTAAAAGGGTACTCTTTTCTTTTTCTCCTTTCTTTTTTTATTTATAAAACCTGGTTGCCTATCAGTGCAATAACAAAATGAGAAAAATCAGCTCACCTTTAGAAACCTTTTTATGTTATTATATTTAAAGAATAAGTCAATAAGTTAATTCAAGATTTTCCAGCTTAAATTAAAAAATCAAAGCAGGATTATATCTTATTGTTTTTACAAAATGTCTCAAATGCCATTGTTAACTACAGATTTGATTAAAAGAAGTGAGTTAGAAGAAAGTGCTTACATGTCTGTATTTAATTTTAGTTGTAAGAAATGAGATCTTACTTCAAGAGAGCTTATATATAAAAAAAATTCTGAATTTAAATGGATTAAATTTAATTAAATTACAAATTGATTGATTGGAGTTAAAATATATTTTGCAATGTATTTTACTGAACTGAAATATATTAATAAATGGCCTAGAATAAGTTTTATTTGACTGGATTTGATTGGACTGGAATGTCTGTATTTGTGTTGTATCCCAAGATGATTTTTTTTGTCATGAACTGTCTCTAAATGAATCAGAAAGAATTGTAAAAAGAAAATTTATAATTTTCATATATTTTTGTATCTGTGAGTGTGTGGCTGTGTGTGCATCATAAATGTCGAGAATTTGTGATATACGTTCCACTTTTGTACCTGGGCAGGAAAATCATTTCTCTTGTTGGAAGTAAAACATCTGCGACCATCACCATGTACCAGACTCTGAACTTGTGTTTTTAAGAAACCTGAACCCTGCTTATCTCCAGACTTGTTGCGACACATGCACATGCCACCAGTCGTGCACATTCCAGCTGAAAGCTAAGACAAACTGACTGCCTGTTATGCAAATTATCACCAGAGGGCACATTTTTCCCTTAACAAAAGGAATGGCCTAGTGACCTATAGAAAGTCCAGCTAAAAATGGTGTCATTCCATTTTAACCCAGCCAAGATTTACATTTAAATTCTGATTTGTCATTAAATTCACCATTAGTGGAAACCAGTAAAATTATCCAAGCAGATATAATTTTAAATTAGCCCGTACCTGCAGATGTTCTTAATGTACCCTCCAAAACACTTGAAAGAATAAAGGAATGGAGTGCAGCCAATATACAGAGCTTATGTGTCACAGAGAAAATTTAATGAAGGTTTCATGTCTGGTTGGATGCTTATTTTAATCCGTGTTTACACTCAGATAGTCATCTTTAAAAACATTAAACAGCTCTCACCACTTCCCCAATTTATCTGTGAGGCTTTGACATAAAAAGAGCAGTTAACTGTTCAGCCAGGTGACATTTTTAATTTAGAGAAATTTAATAAAAAACATTGTGTGCTCTAAATTTATCTTTAGCTGGTCACATTTATTCAGGCTGTAACCTTATAACAGTCATTAAAATGTGATATTGTGCTTGCGCTTTCTTTTTTTAAGCCACTTCAGTAGAAAGCAGAACTGAATATTAGTGTCTTAGTTTCTTCATCATCAGTGACTTTATTAAAAGAAGAAAAAGAAAGAGAAGAGAAAGGTGGAATATAACTGTAAAGAGTGAAAGAGAGATTAGAAGATAAATATACATTGAGAAAACACAACACACCCGACATCTTGGCTGCACACCTGCAGAAACAGAGATAACAAAGACACAGCAACAAAAATNTGACCTGTTTGAAGAAACTGGGAACCTCTCAGTCTTCATCATCACTTTCTCAGCAGAGCAGAAGACTCCTCTTGCAAATGTGTTAACCCATTCTCATTGGACTGACACAGTTTCCCCACGCTTTTGCAAAACAGTTAACGCAGACCTAGTCTTCGTCTGCAGGCCTGTGTTGTTCTCTTATACTCTTATAGTTTAGGCCTACTATAGATTTTTGTTCTTTACTGTGAAATACTGTGTTTTTAATTTACCTAATTTCTCACACAGTGAAGGATTTTATTTTTATTTCCATGTATTCTCTGTTGGAATATTTCATTTGTCAGCACAGTCTGAAAAAAAGAATGTAATCAATAAAATTAGCATCAAACCATGTCTGCTTCTGGATGCATTTTTTACAAGAGGGCAAATTTGACTACAAACGGCACTGGCATGTAAGCTACCGTACATACAGTCTTAGGCTACAATGACAAGCAATGGTGCACTGATACACACGAGTGCTGTATTTTGAATTTTGTTGCCCATTGTGTAATGATTGATTGGAGGTGCTCATACACTGTGTCAAAGTTAAGTTGTTAGAAGGCAAAATTAGCTTTTGTTCTATATTTTAAATGTTTTGGCACAGTTAGTGCCTTTTGCAAACAAAAGGTGTCATTTTGACCACTGTGGCGCTGTTTAGGCCTCTGCGTTAACTGTSTTGAAAATGTGGATTTTGAGTTGACGGCTGCGTCAAAACAATCAATAAAAACTGTACWAAGAGTTCAAAAGCAAAGCATGACCTTTGTTCACCCAAAACAAACAGGATGTAATAGTCTGAGCTGCATTATTGTTTCATAATCTGTTGGTTAATGTTYTCTATTTATCATTGAGATTAAAAAAAATAATTGGTTTGATGTTTACTCGTTCAAGAGGTTAAGAGCTTTAATTAAATTTTCTACTGCAGAATATCTGACAAATAAAAATAGCCTGAATATAGCACTATAAAATCCAAAGACTGCAAAGCTCTTCATACTAAAGTCTGGTAAGCTACATTGTATCCACAGCTGCCCTAGTTKCCCCTGTCGCAATGTTAACACCAATTATGTTATTAATTTTAGTTTTTCACAAGAATGGACAGCAAAATGTACAAGTAAAACCTGTCTAAAATTTTTAAATCAGACAGAAGCAAGCTTTTTATTTTATTTTATTT